GGAATGGTCAAAAAAATGATTAAAATGAATAACTGATAATTTGAAACAGGAAAAAAGGTCCAAAGATGAAGGAGTGAAGGGAGGGGAAGGGGAAAGGAAAAAGTACAAGAAAAGGGAAAAAAAATGGAAATGAAATCTATGTAAATAGGGAAGGGTGGAAGGGGTGAAGGGTGCACAGGTAATGGGGAAAAAATAAGAACCAAGATATATCACGTACAGGTACACCACCCAATGATAAATGTAAATGAATTGTATTCCTAAAATGTACCCATAAAAGAACTAAAAAAAAAAATTCATGGCTTATCCATATGGTGAAAAGCTATGCTGTCACACAAAAGAATGAGTCATTTCTTTTTACATGTAGTGTGTGATAGAAAAACAGGGTGAATATTTAAAATTTTTAAAAAGTATCACAATAAAAGCCATAATTCCATTAATCTCCCTCAATATATTCCTTCTGGCTTTGAACACACCAATTCCATCATTCTTGTCACTTCCTGAAGCAGTTCTGGAAGTCGTCTTCTCTAAATATCTTTAGTTGAGCTGTTGTGGCTCACCCCATGTCTTGAATAACTTGAAAATATTTACCTTGCATGGTCATTTTGACCTTGGGGAGCAGCCAGAATCTTCATGGTGCAGGATCTGGTGAATTAGGTGGGTCAGGACAAAATGTAATGTTTCCATTTGACAGAAATTTCCGTAAATGTTTTGAATCAATTCAGACAGCCACAAACTTCAGAAAGTGGCAAGAACAAGGTGATAAGTGCACTCAACTCAAAGGGGATTATTTTGAAGGGGGAGTTAATGGTAATGTGTCTTTTATTGCAAATTTTTTTTTAACATTTAAATACATAACATAGTTTTTGATCAGCCCTTATGTATGAAAATATCTTCAAAGTTTATTTTTTAGTAAGTAAAACAAATTGTAGAATGATGTGCAGAATATGTTAACATTTGTGTATAAAAAGGAAGAGGCAGAAAAATATAGTACTTACTAATTGATATACATTGCATATCTCTGGAAAGATTCTAAACAAACTGATTAGTCATCACGTGTGAAGCAAAATGGGTGACTAAGAAACAAAAATAGGTGAGAGAGTTTTCACTGTATACCATTTCATATATGATGGATTTTGAGCCTTGTTGAATACATTACTAATTTAAAATACATTTTAAAATGAGTTTTAGCCAGACATGGTGGTGCACACTTGTAATGCCAGTGCTGGGTGGGGGCAGGGCTCTGAGGCAAGAGGATAGCAGCAAGTTCAAGGCCAGCCTGGGCTACAGAATGAGTTCAAGGTGAGCCTGAACTACACAATGAGACCCTGTCCCAAAAAATGAAACAAAATTTTTTTAGAAGAATCAAAATACATACATAAGCTTAATTTGTTCTGTAGGCTAATTGTTTGATCTAAATTAATACGTCAAGGGCTGGGGGTTTAGCTCAGTGGTTCTGCAACCTGTCTCCCAAGCCCAAGGTCTAGAGTTCTATCCCCAGTACCAAAATTTAAAAATAAAAAATAAATAAATTAATATGTGAAGCACTGTGTCCAATGCTTTACTTACCAAAATCATCATATTATCCTGGAGATGAGTAAATAGAATCTAGATAACAAAGCTAAGTTGAGGATAATAAATAATTAGAAATCTGATTTCTAGGTATAAAACTAATCAAAAAGCATAAGCATATAAAAATCAGAAATAAAACCAAACATAGTCACCTATGTTTTTCAGTCAACAAATGAGCTCAACACTACAAAGCTATTCACTTACTCACAATCTACTTAGGAATTAGATATCAGTTTTCCTAGACAATCATTTTGATCTTCCCAATAAAATTTTTCTTTATTGACAGAAACATGGTATTATAGAACTAGATCCTAGAAGATATTCTACAAAATGTGTACTGTAGAGAGCCATTCTACATAAATTTCTGAGGAAACATCATTTCATAATTAAAGTATGACTATAGCTGTCTAAGGCCTAATGTCACTTTGCCCGCAAGCTGGCTATGGCATGCGGAAACATAGCTGTTTTGCCTCAGGTCACAAGTTGAGGCCTCAAAGGTCCCGTGATACAGTGATGCTCAAGGGCAAGAGTACATCAGCTGAAGACATCCTGGGTTTTGAGAATGGAGTAGTAATAAAAAAGAGAAAGGTTTCACCTGAGGGAAGGACAAATTCTTTATTAGCCTGCTATCTTGTCCTACCTACTATTGTAAGACTGTTCTCCTTACTGCCTTCATCAACACAAGATCCTCATCAACATAGGATTACCACCACCCCCTAAGTCACCTGATACTCTCTCCTATTATTATGTGTACTCAATAAATAATGGCTAGCTCAGAGTGTCTTTGTCTTTGCCCACTCCGAGGCACCAACCTTCTGGCACCCCATGTACTTTGAAATTACGCAAGTCTCTATTATCTTTCTTTCTTTAGCCTTTACCGTCCCCCTTTCTAGGCAGTCAGAGGATTGATCGTCCTATGATAGTGTACCAAGTGTTTAGGTGGAAAACCAATCAGATATGCATTATGAAGATACAATGGCATTAGATGTCAAGAAGAACCTCTCAGTCTGAAAAAGGATAGAGACTTAACTACAGTATATGCAAGACACAGAGTAATACAATTTCCAAAAAATACGGGAAAATTGATAAACTCAAGAGTATTTCTAAATGCAAGGATCAGGGAATTTTTTATAAAAGTGACATTTAAGTTGGGACTAATGATGGAAGGAATACTATAAATACTCTTCAGAAAAAAATCATGAAAATAAGCATATTATAAGGCAGTTTCTTCATGGTTAAGTATCAACTAAGCAGAACAGATAATGATTGCTAAAGAAGAATTGAAGTGAAAAGAAAGACTTGCTGTAGGGACCAGAGAAAAAAGTAGGTCTCAAAGGAAGATTGGGGTTTGGACGGGAGGATAAAGAAGATGCTTAAGTTAGAAGAAATAGAAAATTACATGTAAAATATTTATATGCCTGACACACAGTATGTCAACATATATTTGCTAAATGAATTATATATCCAAAGGCCATCTTCTCTTTATTTAATCACTTAAGCAAGATCATAAAGTACAAATGACTCAGGGCAAAGGTGAATATATAAATGTATCAAATAATAATAATGTCCCTGCCAGAATGAGAAAAGATGAGTGTTTGATGACTCCCACCACCAAACATAGACAATCTTAAAAGATAATTGATAACTAGACTAGGCTTGATACCTTAGTTTATGGAATTCAGACAGTTAAAGCACTAAGAACCCTAATTTGGAAATGCATATACTAGAGCAGTGAAGGTGGTGATGGTGATCTAGTTCATTATTCCCCCCCCCACACACTTTTCTTTCCCAATTTATGCTGAAAGCCTAAGCAAGAAATATCTGTGGCTCCTTTAGGGCTCTGAAAGTAGAGCCATTAACTTAATCTTGAGAATGGACTAGATAGTCACATGTAATTTTTATTTTGAAGTTATATTTCTGCTCTTAGGTTTTCTGCCTGTCTTCCCTTTAAGCTAATTTGGAGACAATGTTCCCATCCTATTCTCCCATCCCATTTGTCCTCAATAGTTAGCAAAGATTACTATTTCTCTCATAAAATTTCTCTCAATACCCTGAAGAATGGGATGAGATCATTTACAAGTCACTGGTTTCTGTTTTACAAAGGTCCTTTTGGTAATATCCTCCTGGTTAAGTTGTCCAAATAATTAGAAGAAAAGCAGGTTAGTGGCTTTTTTATTAGAGGTAATTAAGTCCACTGAGAACAGTGTTAAATTAGAAGCAAATAAAATCTATGCTCTAGCCTTTCAGCCTTTGGACAAGCTAATTCAATCCTTCCAGGTCCCCTTTCACTTCACCTGGAAAGCATTTTAAGGACATCAAAGTACTAATTCTATCAGCAGTGTTCCTGAGAAAGAGTTCCAAACTGAGTAGGAAAAGGAAGTGAAACTAAGATTGTGACAAGCAGCACCCTCTGTCAAATACATTATGGCATTTCAGTTACCCAAATATCTTATAACATAGAATTATTAATCTGTATTCTATAGAGAAAGGCAATGCCCAGGGTAATTACTGGTAGTAATTTGGGTTTCAAAGCAGATCTTTGTGTTACCCCAAAACATCACAGTCTCCAACAGTTTAAAATCCAAACTTGGATATTATTTTCTTTGCTCAGTCATTATTACACTGGATAACAGAATGATGCTTAATAACTGTTTTTCTTCACAGTGAATACAATACCAAAGGAAATAAGACATTCTTTTTGCCATCTGTTTGAATGTGATTTATTTTCCCCAAAATTCTTAAGGTCCACAAAAGACAGCTCCACCAAGAGGTTGAGCAAGTCCACTATCTCCAGCAATCACAGTATTTCTGCCCAATCTTCCACCTACACAGAGAACTGACCACCTTGGCCAGGTCTTAAAGGGCCTGAGCAGGGCCTAGGCTTGGACTTCCTCTTTTAACCAAGCTAAACTGTTCCTTAATGAACTGGTAAACTCAAGAAGCTCTTACCCACAGCTCCTTCCAGGATCTCTTGATCCTAATTTCCAATAACCTAGGCTCCCACTTGTCCCTCCTCCCTCTTTCTAGAAGCATCTCTTAATACTCTCTAGTTATCTGGGGTGGCTTGTTCTCTGGCTGCCACTTTGACTGTGTGGGGTTAAGTCAGAGACAAACCTCACTGCTTAAGGAGGATTGAGAGCACTAAACCAGGGCAGACTAAACCAGACAAATCCATCTATTTTTGACCTCTTTCACTTTTTCAAGAAGCCTCCTCAAAAGTACCTCCTCCCCTTTTTAGTCCCTTTTTGCCCAGTCTTTAGTGAAGTCATTTTCCCCGAGTTTCATTTGATTTCAGTGTTTTTACCCTTCCGCTCCCCTCTCCCCTTGCTAAAACCCAAAGATAAGTAGGCGGGTGTGGTGCAGGGGAGGTGGGGGGGGGGTAACCTAAACCGAGATGAGAGTGGGTGGGTTCTAATCTCGGTGTCACTTACCGCTCTTGTCTCTAGCTGAGGACTCCTGAAGCGTCTAAAGCTCATGCTGTCCTCCTGTAGGCTCATACTCCTGAGCTGATCGCAAAACAGCTGTTCCACTCACACTCGCCCCTTGGCTACATTCTCCTACTTTCTCTTTCACGGTCCCCCACTTCCCCTTTTTCTTCCAGCTGGAAAACAGGGAAGAAGGAGAAAAGAGAGGGAGTCTCTTCAGACTCAGCTGGGCCACCCTCAGAACAAGGAAAACAAAGATCTCTAGTATCCAGTCCAAAAATTAGGTCCGGCAGAGCCTACTTCCTAGAAAGAATGCTTTCCCTAAAGTCAGTTAAAAATTAAAGTGGGTTCGCTGGGATGAAGAGGCCAACACTGAATATCCTCCGTTCCCCTTTTACCTTTACCAATTCAGTTCCGGCCAAGGCCACTCTCCACCCAGTCTCTGAACTCCGCACACCCTTGAAAAGAAGGACAGAGGTAGGGGCTAAGAAAACAGCCCAAAACCTGAAAACACTGTTGAGGAACCCAGGACGAGATATCACAAGAGGATCCCTTCAACGCTGCGGTGGCAGCCCCACACCCCAGCTCTTTCCTAAAAGGAAAGAAGGGAGGAGAAAATGCCGATGATTGGTCGATACACTTAGGAGAACACCAGCCCGGGACAAGAGCTTCAAGGAAAAACAGCAGCAACTCTTTGCAGGTCCTCTGGGGCGGGGTTTCTTAGAGGCTCCTGGCTGTCCCACTGCGGACCTCAAGACCCACACAGGTCAGAACGTGAAGTGCTCTCTAGGCAACCTGAGTGGATGGAGTGATTTCGTCTTTCTCCGCCCCGGCTAGGCCAGACAAGAGGTGTGACTATGGTAAGGACTCCACCTAGGGTGGAGTTCCTTAAAAGAGACCTGAAGCCGCAGAAGGAGAAAGCAAACTAGGAAGAGACAGAGAAGGGTGGGGCTAAAAAGGAGGAGGGAGAAGAAAGGGAGTGGGGCGGAGCCCTGGGGAGAGCTGGCCTCGCCCCTGTTGGCGGTCTGTCTCCAGCAGCAGCAGGCACAATTGGAATCAATTTCGGTTCCTTACCCGTCCCAGAAAAAGGCTTGATCACCTATCTATCCGGGTTATGCCAACTCTCTAGGGAAGGAAGAAAGCGGTGTGAGAATTGGGGATGGGGGCTATACTGGAAAAAAGGGATGAAAAAAGAGGAGAGGATAAAGCTGGCAACTAGAAGCTGTATTTCCCCTCCTATCTTTTCATAGTAACGTGTGACAGCAGCAAAGACATCAAGGACCCTGTGTGTTCTCAGGGAGGAGGCTAAGAGTAAAAGAGATTGGAGCTAGATGCGTTTTCTAGCAAGAGATAAGGGAAGGAGGTGAGGGTGAAGAAGTGGGTGGATAAGAAGGAGGAATTGAAGATGAATTGCAAATACTGCAGCATGTGATACCATAGCTCTAAGAATAGAGTTATCAACCCCTTGAGACAGCCTCTCAGCCAGGTATTGGCTAAGATCCCCTTAGAGCTGAATCCATAGGTTAAGAGCCATGTTTCCAGAATTTCTGGACCATGCCTAGCTCATTTTAATGAGGTCAGAAAGTTACACTCAAACAAGGCCCCTTTTCAGTGCCTCTTCCTTAGCACAACTCTTTTAAAGGGGAGGAAATAGATGAGAGAGGAGAAACAAATCAGAAGGAAGGGAGCAGGGAAGTAGGAGAAATAATAATAGCCACCACCTAATATGGGCAAGTCAGTGGACCAGGTGTTTTTCCATTCATCATTTATTCCTAGTAACAATTCTGGACAGTATATATTTATACTCTCTGTGCCCCCTTTTTTTAAAATGAAAAAAAATTGAGGGTCACTATCTAGTACTTTCCAATAGGTATGTCCAGTTGCCTAATTAGTATTTCTACCTGAATGCCTTCTAAGTATCGTTTTTTTTCCCCCAAGCACACCCTTTTCTTCCTCCCATAGTTCATCAACCACCTAAATGCGACCACCCTGAACTTTAGCATTCAAAGGAACACCATGGGACTCATCCCTTAATCTGCTATGATCTGGCCCCTACATATCCCTCCAGCAGCAAAGCTTTTGATGCTATCCTAGGTTTTATTTCATCAATCCCCTGAGCAAACCCCCGAGAATCCTAGGCTGTTTCTATGCTGCAATAACCACTTTCTCTGTCTGAAATGGCCTAAATGGCCTAAATTCTTCACCTTCGATGCTCATAGTCATACCCCCCTCCCTGACTTAATTCCTTCAAGGAAAATTAAAATTTAAAATTTCCTCTGTGTCTTTCTCCACCTCAGGGAACATGGTTGTTGATATAATTGCCTTTCCTTATTAGACTACAAAGTCCCAAAGATTAGGTATTGAGTGTTATATTTTCTGTAATTTGGATACCAGATATTATTGCTATTATGAACCATAATAGTCGTGATACTTTAACTATGTGCCAAGCTCTGTTCTCAATCTCATGTATATTATCGACTCTTTCTGAAAATCTTATAGACAGATATTATTGCTATCATCATTTTATAAATGAGGAAACAAAGGTACAGAGATAAAATAGCATCCTTATATATATGTTGCATGAAAGAATGTTCCTGTAGTAGGAATTCTACAAATATCTTCCTATTTCAGAATACCATGTCTCTCTCCAATCACTCCCCAACCCATGCCCAACTTACAAAATAAGATATATTGACATATAGATACATGTATACAACTCTCTACACGTTCCTTAAAAAAAGATTCACTTTTTCCCTTGGATCTTCAGTTTCTTAATGTATAAAATTTGGGGAATACTATTCAATATGCAATTTTCAATACTCCAACCGAGGTTGTTTTCAGTAATACCAGAAAATTTTAGATTCAAGTGTGTGAAAGGCATTGGATTGTTTATATCAAAAACAAATGCACATTTGTGATGTGTAGATGAGGGTGTTTACATAACTAGTAAAATTTAGAACAGACATTACAATTCCCTATCTAGGCTAGGTGTGTCATGTACCATCATGAGTTCCTTCAATCTGGAAAAGTTTCTCAAGAAAATCTATCAATTTACAGGTTGCTAAACAGTTTATATTCTTTTAAAAGTTTTTCTGGTTAAGTAATTTATTTTAGCCCCTATTTTTTTTTGTCTGCTTCAACTTTTTTGTGTAGAAAACATGATCTCAGATAGCAAATTCAAGTTTTGAAACATAAATTATTGAACCTTGGTAAAAGCAAACTTGAAATTCTTTCCCATCCAGTATTCCATCCAATTCATCAGTAAACCATATTGAGCACTTGTGCTAAATCAAGACCTATGGTAGGTGTTAGGGGGACAAATGAAACATCCATTCTCACCAAGAGGCTCCAATGGGGAAGCCTTTGGTTTCATAATACTCAGCCTATGATAATAGACTACCACATTTTCTTTGAGTCTTTCAGAGATGGTTTTTATCTCCCTCAAACTAGCACTCAAAATGACTCAGGGAGTTAGGAATTTTTCTTTATAATTTTTTTGTCTTTTATAATCATCATGTGGCTAATGTTGTCTATGTCAGATGAAAGGTTGTGAAGGAGTAAATTATGACAACTGGAAGTTGAGATCAGTTTCCCTCCATAGGAAGTACCACAAGCTCTCTTTTCTTTAGCTAGCTTAAGAAATAAAAGCCAAAGGGCCAGGGATTTAGCTCAGTGATTTCGCCACCTGCGGCTCAAGCTCGAGGACCTGAGTTCGATCCCCAGTACCACCACCCCCCCCAAAAAAGCCAAAGAGCAGCCAGAAGTATCTTCGACTCCTTCCATTCCACCCTAAGCCCAAGAAAGACTGATTGCTTAAAGCAGCAGCCTTTACTTTCCTCTATATACCTCAAAAACCCGATGATGAAGATAAGAACCAAATTATGTCTCAAACTGAATGATAGATAGTTGAGAAATATGCAGACACTGCAAGTTTCAAGGCTCACAAAGTGCAGTTCTTCTCTTTCCTTCTTCCTCTTCATTCTTCTGCATCTTCTTTTCCTCCTGAAAGCCTACTCACAAACTGCCAGAGTGGAGCCCAATCCTGAGTGCTGGAGGGGAGGAGGAAAAGACTCAGTAAGAGGATTCCACCATCCCAGCTCCCAATATAATGACAAAAAATAATTTTTTTAAAGAAGGCTTGAAGAGCTTGATCTGAGGGGAATGTGGGACAGAATAGGGTAGAGGGAGAGAAGGAGGAAAAGAGAGGAGAGTTAGAGGCCCAGCTGCCCTAAGAAGGGGAGAGAGATCAAAAACAATAAAATTTGCATTCTTAAGTCACTGTTGTTCAGTGAAAAATAAAAATGTTTCTGAAGTCAGACCTAGAAGGTGTAAAATTTTCCTTTTCATCCACTTTTTTTCTTGCTTTACTGTTCCCCAGAGGGCATATTCCCTGTAGAAGCTCAGCTAGAATCAGACCTCTTGGCTTTCTGCTGATATTGTACCATTGTTACATTCTGCACCTGTCCCAGAGGACAGCACTAAGTTTTCTGCCAGGATAGGATAAAGATATGCTGAAAAAGGAAATCCAGCCGAGAGAAAAACTGAAAAGAGATTGTGAGAACAGACTTAGTTTACAATATTAGACATATTTAGATATGCCTTCACATCTCTAAACATCAATTTTCTCACCTGTTTCCTATTCAGAGATACTGTTCACAGAATTGTCAAAAACAGTAAGTAAGATGCAGAGGTAGCTTTACAGTGATATTAATAAATCTAAGCTTTAGTCCCTTTTCCAAGGCTCTGGAAAGAATAAAATAATGTGTGTTTTTTTTAGAGACAGTCCCCATAGTTTAAAGCTTCAGTCTCTACAAAGTGTACATCGGCTACTGATGAGATTTTAGCTTACAAAATAGTATCTGCTTAGTATGAAGGAAGCTCTAATAAAGGCTATTATTCTTACCATTGACAGCTATGAAAACTATGAACTTGAAGTTAAGATTTTTTCTGACCATAGTTGTGAGGATCATGCTCCATGTTCCTAATATCCCTTGTCCCTATACATATAAATAAATCAAGTTATAAAAAGTAGTAACTGAATTTCTTGCTCACATTCAAAGGAATGGTTAAATTCACCTTAGGAATAACCAATGGTTCAGTACCATATAGCCAAGGTTTGAAATTCTTCTGGCACAGCATTATTTCATGTACGTTCTAGCAGGCACTCTAACTTCCATAAGTTAAGTTGTGCCTGGGGCTGCTAATTTTATGACCAAAGAGCTTGGCTTGGGTGTGTTTATATGTGTGTGTGTGTGTGTGTGTGTGTGTGTGTGTGTTAGGAATAGGGGGTTGGGTATATTTAGATTTTCACTTCATTTTAGATCCCAGAAGCTACCACACCCATACACTGGAGGAAAGGGGAGGGTTTATAATAGAAACTAAGAAAAACCAGAAAAACCTGGAGGCTCAGCCTCACCTGCAGGAAAGGGATAACATCCTTGGCCTTGTCCTCAAAGTGTATATTAATGAGTTAGTTGAGTGTTCTGTTGTTGAGTGTACAAAAAAAACTCCATTAATTTTTGCTTTCATATTTCACAAATAAATATATGAGACTGTTTCAGGAAATATATAAATAGAGCAGAAACTCTTGGATCACTGAGCTAATCTAGAGAAGTGCCAGGGATCCAAAAGCCCCAAACGCAAGGTTTTATAGCTTTTTTGTTACATACCACAAACAATTCTCACTTTCCCAACAGAGAGGTGGTGTCCATCTCCCACTTTTTCCCAAACCAATAGGATATTTCCCTTTACCCTTATGTCCACTTTAGTTTGATCACTTCCCTCAGAAAGTAAAAATAAGAAAGGAAAGAGGTAGTATTTTTGGTGTGTTCTTAAAAATCTGTCAATACATTTACTGAAATGTTGAAGCTTCATTCTTTACTTTCTGTTTTTGTTGTTGTTTTTGTTTAACCAT